TAATTAAATTTTAGATAAAAGCAAAAATTGTCACATGATGGTGATACAATTAGTTACCTTCATTCACTTTTATTAATTATCTCACTAAAAAAATCTTAAAGAGATTAATAATTAATTTTGCACATTAATTTACCTTTGAATAGAATCGTGCTTTATCTTAATTTAAATTTTATATATATATATATATATATATATATATATATATATATATAATCTTGAAAGACTTTTATACTATCAACTAATTGGAAGTCAGTCTATATATGATTTTAAAATATTAATTAAAAAAATTAATAATTTTAATTATATGATAATTAATAGTTAAGTAACAGAACATATATTTTTTTTATGTATATATAAAAAAAAACTTTAGATATACTGCATGTATATTGCAATTACATTGAAAGTAAATAAATATAAAGATGCGTACACATATTCCTTTGTAAGTGAATATCCTGTCCGACACATCTAAGTGTGTGATAAAGCCATATTGATCCTGTCACTTTGTGTGGATTAAGATTTGGTGACTTTATCAGCAGAAAAAACTACAATTTTACATCTGAATTAGATGAAAGACAATCACCTAAAGTTGGCACTTATGAACGACTTTTAATTTGTCTAAAACATACTCCATAGAATAGATAAGATAAAGAGAGACCAATAATGACCAAAATGAAGCAATCCATGCATCCCACCATTACCGACAGCATGACCAAATGGAAATGACAAAGACCAAATTCAAGTTCTTCCATAGCAAAAGAAAAGAGTAAACATCGCAAGCAAGACAAAAATCTCATGATGGATAAAATCATTTTAACTTTAACTTTTACGTGACCAAAAGAGTAAGAATTTTGTCAATTAGTGATGGAAATAAAACTATATTTAACAAAGTTATAAATAAGGATCTATCACAATTCCGTTGTAGTCTAGTTGGTTAGGATACTCGGCTCTCACCCGAGAGACCCGGGTTCAAGTCCCGGCAACGGAATAATTTTTAACGCTTTTTTCTTTTTGCAACCTGATATGACAAACAAGAAATCACTAAAATAGTAAAAATAAAAAAAGTAAAAAACAATAAAGATGAAGTAACAATAAGAAAAAGAATAGAACTGTGTACGTGGAGAAAAGTGTGAGAATTCAATGACATGTAAGCAACAGCAGATAGCGAGCAACGTTAACATGCCACGTTCTCTTCATGCAAGGAACCCTCTTTTCTTTATAATCTCACTTGCACACACGTTTTGATCCATCACACAAAGGAAAACGTAAGCAATTAAGCTTCTCTGCAGTTGCATCCAAAATGCCAGGCCTTACCATCGGAGACACTATTCCTGACCTCGAAGTTGAAACTACTAATGGCAGAATTAAGCTTCACCAGTTCTGTGCTGATGCCTGGACCATCCTTTTTTCTCACCCAGGTTCTCATTCTTCTTTCTTTCTTCTTATTTTTAGTTCCATGTTTGATCCTTTTGCTGGCTACCTACCTTGTGTTTTTATTCTTAATTATTCTTCTTCTCATGCATGCATGCATGATCATGATTATATTTATACATTATGTATAGGTGATTTCACCCCAGTTTGTACCACTGAGCTTGGCAAGATGGCTCAGTATTCCAAGGAATTTTATCAACGAGGAGTGAAGCTATTGGGATTATCCTGTGATGACCTTCAATCTCACAATGAGTGGATCAAAGACATTGAAGCCTACACCGTTAGTTTCCAACTTTTCCCATACAGTGTTTCTCAATTATATAAACAATTGAACAAAAAATAAGACATATATAAAAAATAAATCTTAGATGAATGATAAGGGTCTTTGTCCTTGTATTCAGCCAGGTGCTAAGGTGAACTTTCCAATAATTTCTGATTCCAGCAGAGAAATCATCAAGCAACTCAACATGGTTGACCCTGATGAGAAAGACTCCACTGGCAACCTACCCTCTAGGGCTCTTCACATTGTGGGCCCAGATAAAAAGGTTCAATTTTTTCTTTGACTAATTAAATTAATGAATTTTCAGTTTTGGGGGGCTAACATGTGCATGTTCATTTGGGGATTGCTGTAGATCATGCTGAGTTTTCTGTATCCTGCATGTACTGGGAGGAACATGGATGAAGTGCTGAGGGTGATAGAGTCATTGCAGAAGGCTTCAAAGTTCAAGGTTGCAACCCCAGCAAACTGGAAGAAAGGGGACCCTGTTGTGATTTCGCCTGATGTGACCAATGATCAAGCCAAGGAAATGTTCCCTCAAGGGTTTGACACTGTGGATCTCCCATCAAAGAAGGAGTATTTGCGTTTCACTAAAGTTTGAATTAAGGAGAATCTTCTTCAGCTTTGTCAAATCTCAGTGACATCGAGTCATCTTAAGTAATCAAACAATGTCTCGTTAATGTACACTTTTTGTGACAGCTTCTTGTTTTTTTAATTACATATAAAAATATTTACTGTTGAATGTATCTTCTGTTTACTATAAAATTCCATATGTATGTCCACAGTTATCATGCTGTTGAATATGTATCTTTTGTTTACAACAAAAATCCATGTATGTCCACAGTTACCATGCTGTTAAAATCTTAAATATAAGTTTTAATTTTTAACTTTTTTGTTCCTCTTAAATTTTTGGGGCATTTGTGGAGAGTAAAAGTAAATCAAACTTTAACGAATAAAAGAATCGGTATATCAAGGAGTTACAACCAAGCTATATCACATATTCACATGGAAATAAAACATGAATTCCTTAGCAGACAGAGGCAACTTTGAGAAGCTCCATAGTCAAGGCTGATCAAGTGAAATGCGAAGATATATATGTTCTTTGAACTGCAAATAGAATAAGCCATGAGGGGTTTCAAATGCAGATTGATACAGTAGGAAAATGTTCATGGTTAGAATATATATTTGAACTTCTTTATTATCGAGGATCGTGTAGTGTGTTATCAACTGCTTCAACAATGGTGAACGGATCACAAATAAAACAAGTATAAATAAAACAGGAATTTTAATGATTTAAGATTTATGCACATCGTTCATGGCTTAATTATACTTGCATTTTTGGGCATCCTTTATAATTTTGCTTTGAAATTTCCCGTACTATATATAGTGAGAGGAAATTGCAATGAAAAAATAAGTATAATTTAACATTAGTAATACTCAAAAGTAGGGATGAGTATAAGACGACATACGTAATAATTAGGAGTTGGATAAATGATTTTTTTTGGGTTCATATTCGTATAAATGACTTTTTTAAGGTTCATATTCGTAATGGGCCGGCAAATCTTGATCCGTAATTTTTTTTTTTAAATGATTTTTTTTAAGCTTCATATCTCAATAAGTTCGATGAAATAAATGATGTTTTTTTTTTAAGTTTCATATGCGAAACCTACAACCCGCGGTTCAATAATTTTTTTTTTTTTTAAAAATCCCTCCTTCCCTTTTTTATGTCAGATTATTTTTATGCCAGATTATATAAGGGAGAAATATATAAAAAAATTATATGAAAATATAAACATCAAATAATCTAAAATAAAAAAAATTTATAAAAATCTTAACATACAAAAATTTACACATTTAAACTAAAATATTAAAATATTAATATAAAAAATGTATACATTTAATTTAAAACATATATATGCGTAAAAGAATCTAAAAAAATTTAAAATATATTAAAGTAGCAAAAATGTAATATATTTTAAATATAAAATATAATAAATTCCATATTTATTACTTATACTTATTTATTAAAAAATACTAAAATTACTTATTATTTAAAATCTCTTATAAAGTTAAAAGGAAAAAAAAAATCCCTTAAATGGGCTAGCCAACAGGATTCGTAGATAAAGGCCGTGAAATTCATGGACTTTAAGGGTTGCACTTAATTTCTTTTATAATTATATGAATTTTTAAATAATAGGTCCATTTATTATGTAGGCCATAAGTTTCACAGATTAATCTACAACTCGAGTCCATATACTCACCCCAACTCAAAGGAGGTGACTTGCCTTTTATGAAAGGGTCACAAAATACGGATCAATCTACTGGCTCTTGAATCCATATATCCACCCCAACTCAAAATAGGTTACTTGTCTTTTATGAAAAAGGGTCACAAAAGATGAATTGATGTGGATTTGTGTTTGGTTATTGGGGTCTTGGAGATGAACTCAGGTAGACTCAAAATTTTTAAAGCTTGATTAGTATAATTTTACTTACTTGGTTATTGTGTCCTACAAATGGGTTCATGAATGAAATTAGAATGAACTTCCTTATGGTTAGATCATAGAAATTTCAAATCTTTACTTAATAAGTAGTGATCAAATTCATTAGTGGGAGATTCCCAATTCGCACTCATGCATTTGTAGCTGTATTAATATAAGGATTTAGCCTATAATTTGGTGATTCTTTTGCCATTCATATCATCTTGTTCTATATTTGGGGAATTGGATTTCATGTTCTTTGGGATATATATTTTTTTAATTTCATTCCAATGTTGTAAGGTTTTGTTGTAGACTAGTTTGTCTCGTCCAAAAATAAATAAAGTCCAATCAAAAATTCTTTTTGAATTCAGATATAATCCGAATAATTTGATCTTGAATTCAACATATTAATCACTTGTGCCTAATTTTTTTTATTTATTTATTTGAGATATATTTATGTTAGAGAACTATGGTCATGTGACTAACAAGTAAATCCCCAACTAAGAGTGTAAAAAAATCAAAATTGATCCATAATCGAACCGATCCACATTAAAAAATTCAATCCTTTTTGAGAAAAAATTTAAATTGATCCACTTTGTAAAATTAGTTTAATTATCCGATCCATTTTTATAAAGTAGATTAATTCAGTTTGGTTCGATTTTATTAATAAAATCAATTCATATATGGGTATAAAATGGATAATCACACCGTATCAAACTGGTCTAATTTAGAAAAATCAATTCATATTTTAAAAAAATCGAACCAATCCACTTTATGAAAAACAAATGGTTAACTTATCCATTTTTATAAAATAGTTCGGTTTGATTCGATTTGAATTTTTTAAAAATCCAATCTATGAGCACTCCTAATAAATGTATAATCTTCTTCTCTTTTGGAAGCTAAACATATTTGAACTTTTTTCCTATTTGAAGATAATATTCAATCTTATTAATGGTAAGAGTCAAATGGAGAAAATATAATATTATTAATGACTTATAATTGATAAAAAAAAATAATTAGATATAATTAATTTAAAGTATACATCTAGTTTGTAATGAAATATATTCACTCATATATTCAATCTAGTCTCTGCCCTTCCAAAATGAGGCATAGATGGGCTGTGATATGGTTGACTGTAATCTGGAGTATTTGGCTAGCAAGAAATGCTCTTATTTTTTCTGACAAGGTGCTATCTACTTTAGATGTGCTTGAATTGGTAAAACTGCGCACTTGAAAATTTGTTAAAAGCGAGAGATAATTCTTTTTCATACTCATTTTCTTCTTGGGCTGAGTCCCCTTCCGTATACCTTAATTTTTATTAAGTGATTTTGTTGGTGATTATTGCTATCTGGGTGTGTGATTCTGACTTAGTTGCGGCAATGCTTTTGACAACGCTGATTGACTTCACTTTGTAGTTGATAATTTTTTTTTGGATTGCTAGTTTGGTTGTTCCACCTATTAGTGCAAGGTCTTTTATTGTATGATGTTTGCAAATTGATTTTAGGAGGTATATAGTTAGTGTTGTTTTCATTAATCACCTCCTGTTAAACTGAGGAAACAGAAATTCCAAACAGCTGCATGTAGGGGTAAAATTAAGGTCTCAGTGTAGAATTAACGCACAGCTGATGGGAAACTAACAACTCAGCAGTGGAATAGTGCAAAGTAAGTCACAGAGGATGGTATGGCTTTGTGTATATGGGTTGGAGTACCCCTTGTATTCCTCTTATATATTTAATTCAATTTTGCTTAGAAAAAAAAATATTTAGATTGAATATAACATTGATTTTTTGTAGGACACATTAATTAACAATTACGGTAGAGCTAATAAAATGGTTGTACTAAATTAATTACGGAGTTTGAGCTCTAAATTTAAAGCCCAAATGAATTATTGACCTTTTTAACCTAATTCGATAGAATTTGTATCATAAACGAGTTCGAAATAGACTAACTCAATGAGAATGAATTATTCACGTGATTATTTAATTTTACTAAATGACTGTGTAAAAATTTAATATTTAAGAGATATTGACTAAATAAAATTATATTTTTATAATTTATAATAGTTAAATATTATATATAGGTACTTCTTCACAACAACTTTATATAAAATGATATATGAGATTAACATACTTACATATTGTACATGAGATTAACATGATATATATAGGTACTTTTCATATTACAAATATTTACAAAAAAAATTGTCTCATTATCAATTTTTAATCTTTTTCTTAAATGTAATAATAGAATAAAGAAATTGTTTGTATTTTATTTATTACATTAAAATAAACATGTCAATAAAAAGTAATTGTCACAATAAATATTTAGTTTAAATTTTGAAGGAAATTGAAAATTAACAAAAAGTTAGAAATGTCAAGTGAATTCAAAAATGTCTACATAAAATCAAACTTGAATATTTATTTAAAAGAAATAATTAAGTTTAAGTCTTTTTATCCTAATCTATTATATAACTCATAGTTCATATCAAATTAATCAAGAATGAGCTAGGCAACCTATTTTACTAGTTTTAAGGTACTTTAAGAAAGTGTCAATAAAATAAGAATGAAATGCATGATATAAGAAATTTTTTAATATAAATTATTGAATAAAATAATCCTTAAAATTTAACATAAAAATAATAATATGTCAAATTAAAACTAACCAAATAACCTAAAAACATATGAACTCCTTTTCATATCTTATTCCTAGAACTTGATTTGAATGCAATCCAATATTTTTTTTTATTGTGCATATATGCAAAGTTAGTAATTATTGCATAGGAAAACTATTTTCCAGATGACACATAAGAAAACTTTCCTTTTTATTGAATTGCATTAAAATTTGTAAAAAAATTGGCCAAACATGAAAATAAAACGAATGTTCTTTTAAATAGATATATGGTAAAACTTAACTTGTTAAACCTAGCGGGTCAAGCACTATAAGTTTCTTTATCCCATTTTTACATATGTTTTGAAGTAATTATAGACCTATCTAGATAGAAACAACAAACTCCATGATCGATAAGTTATGCTTCTCTAGTTTTATTGTAATTATATACTCATGATAAAAGCTGGTTAATAGTAAATTGTAGCCTGTCTTGAGAACATCTCTTCTAATGCTTTTGAAGGTTGATTCTTCATTAGTTATTTCAAGTTTTCCTTGATAAATTTGTGCCAGTGTAATATCCCTTTAATAACTTCTTACAACATAAATTATCTAGCTTTAAGGTTGTTTAATGAAATGATCATAAAAATCCAATTTTAGGACATGTGTCATATATATGAAAGGTAAACGAGTTATTTAGATAATCCCTTCATATTGTAATTTTTTTTTATTGTATAATTTCAAGTACTTAGTTATATTCATGATCTTGTTACGGTGAATAAGAAAATTCTAAATTTATTTAGACAAAAAAGTTAGATAAATTTTTTATTTAATTTAATCTTATTATTTTTAAAATATTGAATTTAGTCATATAATTTTTAAAAATGTTCAATATTTATTTATTTGTTTATATATAAAAGCGATAATAAAATTAAAATTTTGGATTTTCTATATATTATTTCAAAACCTCAACTCAATGGGGGACCTATGTTATGTTATATTATTTATATTTTTATTTTTTTTTATTTTTTTTTATATACAAAGACGATAATATGATTAAAATTTGGAACTACATATATTATTTCAAATATTTCAAAGCCTCAACTCAATGGGAGACCTATGTTATATTGAGGGCGTGCAAATGTATTTCCTTACTTTGAGGGAAATGTATTTCTTGACAATGAGGAAGATTATAAATATTGTATCCACAGTTTTTGCATTCTTCCTCCCTTTAAATATTTTTTTAAATATTTTATATTTTAGTTCTTATAATTTAAAATATATATTTTTAATTCTTATATTTATCTTTATAAATATTTTTTAATCTTTATAATTTAAGATAAATTTTTTTATTCTTATACTTATAATTTTTTTAGTCACTATTATTAATTATTTTATAATACTTTTTTTTTATTAATATGATAGAAATTTTTAATTTTATGAGATAAAAAAATGTTTCAATAATAAATATTGTAAGTGAGAGTAATTATAAAATTTTAATAAATATAATTTAAAGAAACATAATTTAAAATAATTTCAGCAATATAAGTTTGACATAACATATATAAAGTTGAATTAATATTTATGTTACGTTAATATAAAAAATAATATTAAAAAAATTAACGATAAAAATTAAAAAGATTAAAAATTTATAAGTATAAATACTAAAATATCTATTTTAAATTATAGAAATTAAAAAATAAATCTATTTTAAATTATAGAAATTAAAAAATAAAGTAAATAAAATTATTAAAAAAAACAATTTAACTTTTAATATATTAAAGCCTACCTACTTCAATTTGTTCATTTATTGTCAAGTTTTGTCATTAATGATTGGCATTTTTCTTACATTTCATTATACTGTTAACTTTTTGATTACTTTGCACTTTATTCAATCGGATATTTCACTTTACTTCACATTTCATTCATTTCCAAGATAACAACTATTATTATTTTTAAAAAATATAACTAATGTACTCACAGTCTTAAGTTTCAATCTTATTTTTATCATTAGAAAAAATTGAGCTTCGTAAGAAAACCTCTCATGTAGACAGTGAAGTCCATTGTATCCATACAACGAATTGTAGATTTTAAAACAAGCACTTAGTCCCCGGAGGATCTTGTTCATGAAATTTTTGCAACTCCTTCGTAATAATGAAATTTTTAGTAAAAACTACCTATTGATCCTTTAAAAATTTCAATTCGTCATCACATTAGTCTTTTAAAAATTTTACTTACTAAACTAACCTATTAAATAGCTACAAAACCAACATATTCCTTCTTCAATGATATTATTATTAATTTAATACCGTAAAGATTTAATTCGTCGCCAAATTACTTATTTTAAAGATTTTTTGCTCGGATCCACTACTTTGGTCATAAGGTTAATATAATGATATTTTACATTTGTGAACAACTACTTTAATGTCAATTTATAAAAAAAAAAAAAAAAAACTATTTTAGTGACATTTTAGGTCATTATTGAGTAACTTTTGTCACAGTCAATTTTTTTTAAAAGACTATTAGTGTGTTTGCTTTTCTACTTTCCAAAGCATATCCAATACCAATTCTTCTCTCATATTGGATTGATATTGAACATGACTGGATGCCTTTTGAAACACACGTAACACATGCAACTTTAAAAGGCTAACTTCAAGATTAATTTCCTCTTTTTTTTTTGTTTACACAAAAAATGTTAAATTATTAGTATAATTTGTAAATTTCATGCACTTTCATGTCTTTTTCTTTCTTAACTTTATAAATGTTGAATTTGGATTTAATTTCTTCTGATATTCCATATGCATAGATATTATTAGTACTTCTTGTGTCAATATTTTTATTTTTAAATTTGAAACTATATCTAATGAATATTATTAAAGTTTCCTAGCTCCATCACTGCATGAATTAAACAATGTTAATGTATACATCATGAGAAAGCCAACGGAACCAAAGCCGAAGGGCAAATTGAAGATAAGACAGAGTCCTTGTCCAATGGTGGGTACGTTATTTTTCTATTTCAACAGGGGTACGTGTTTTTATTATTATTGTTTCCATCAAATATTTTAGAGACACGGGTTACATTATTATGAGTGTAGGGTTAATCAAGTTAAGTCTATATACTACGCAAGATATGTAGCAATATCAGATACCAAAAAATGATTGTCTGAGGAAAAAAACAAGGAAAAACAAACAATGCAAGATAATGAAGACTACATTGAATGGATGGGTTACGGGTCATAAGGGAGTGGAGGTGTATACTGCATACCTTAGCCAGAAATAGGAAGAAAAAAAAAAGAAGAAAGAGAAGTAAAAAAACATAACAAGCGATAGTGATATAACAAGAAGAAAATTAAAATACAGATCATTGGTTGGTGAATGAATATTATTGTTGTTACTAAAAGCACATTTTAATGCTCCAGCCCAAGTCAGGTTGGCATGGCATGAATGCTCAGAAGTGATTGTTTGTACCGTTGTAGAATCCTCATGTACATAAGATAAAAAAATTAAATCTGAAATCAGCATAGATAGAAAAAGTTGTTAAGCAACAAAAATGGTATATTATTTTAGCCATACAACATATAAAAGTTCAATCGAGCTATTACAGTGTAGTTCCAAAAAAGGGGACCAAATTCTGCATCTCATCGCACAATATGGGAATAATAATACACCCAAATAGGGACGAATCCTAAAAGATACATAGAGGACAACAATCATCAACACATAATAATGGATATCTAGACTCTAAGTATAGTATATGATAATATATATTTATGTTCTATATCTAAGCCATCAAATTTAAAGTAACATGTTTAACTGCATTGATAATCAGAAAGATCTCCCACTGTCTCAGGGTCACCTTCTCTTAAGCAGTTAATTGGAGGTATAGTCAAGGTCTGTTGTGTCCCATAAGCATTCCAGCAAAAAGGGTCATCAAGCAATGCTCCTTCGAATGGCAAAAGCTCAACCTCAGAGAGGGTTATGTTTGTGCAGGCAACACTGTCACTGCAGGCAAAGTGAATTGGAGCGGTTCTCACATCATAAGTGCCCTTAATGTTGCTGTAGGACACATCATTCACATGCACAGCTGAAGTCTGGTTTAGACATTCCTTTGACAAACAGTAGTATTGGTCTATGATGATGCAATTCCCAACGTTCTCCATTTGGATGTTCTCAAATCTTAAACTTGACACAGATCCCATTCCACCTTGCCATGTCTTGATTCTCAGTCCGTTGTCAGATTCCCTAATGATGCTGTCACGGACTGTTAGGTTTGACACACATGCCTGGGAATTGTGCACTCCAAGGCTTCCAATGCTGCAATAACAAAACAAGACATGATGAAATTAGCATCACAGAAAAGTTTGTGTTGCTAATGTTTCACAATTAGTTCATGTGTTATGTATGTATTTGACCATGTTAGACAAAAACATGTAGCATTTGTACTTTTCAAAATTTCTCTTCGGAAAAATACTATAAATTTGTATTCGAACAGAGACTGTATATTAATTAACTAATTAACAAGTTTCACTCGGTGTTGGTTTAATTAATCATCAATAAAGGTGAAGATTCTGTAATGTACCTAATCCCATGGCTAGGACCACAAGTTAAACCTGCTATGTCCACATTTGAGGACCCGGGTCCAATTGAAATGCAATCGTCACCTGTTCAAATCATGGTATTAAGAAAAGGACATCTAGCACAAGTAAAAAAATAGTGAAATGTAGAACCAAAATACCACAGAGTAAGTGAACATTGCAATTAATAGTCATTACCATTGCTTATCTTGGAGTTATATATGCCAACATATTTGGAGTTCCCAATATGGATTCCATCGGTGTTGGGGCTGAGTTTTGGTGAAGAAATGGAGAGCTTATCGATCAATACTCCTTGGCAGCCATCGAATTTCATGTGAAACTCAGGACTGTTTTGAATTTTCAGCCCATTCACCTTCAAATTGGAGCTCATAAAGAACCGTATCATCTATCAACAAAACAAACAAAAAAAGGTTAAGACATTTATAAATACAAAAAGTGTTCTTAAGAATAGCTTGGCTTAGTTTACTTACAGTAGGACTACCACATGGTCCTGACATAGTTTTTCCATCGGGACCCTGAAAGTGTCATTTGATAAGTAACATTAATTCAACATTAAATAACTAGAAAAATAAAATGGTATTGGTGAGAAGACAAAAATGCTTACCCTGTGTGGTTTGCAAGGGAGATCCCACCACTTGTCTCCATTCCCTTCTATGATTCCTGTACCATTAAGAGTCATTTGGTCAAGTCGATAAAATACTAGCCATTGACTGTGGCTATCTGCTTCTGGCCACGAATCTGGTCCATCTGGTGCCATTAGTGTACCATCCACCTTGTTATATGTCAATTGTGAACCTTGTCAGTAAAATTAAATATATTTATCTATATATTTATATCGATGTAATGCGATAATAGAGTATAAATAAGTGACATGTCATTAATTCGCGACCTGACTTTTAAAGTTTGCTATGATGCTTTTATTTAAAAGGTTTGACATGACCTATTTATCAGAAAGGTTGGGCTTACACTCTCCCAAAAAAGAATTTACTAAAAAAATCTTAAATTCGATGCTTTAAAAGAGTTTAATATGCTTGATAAGTCGACTAATTTATTATATAATATAATATTATGTATTTACATTATTAATACTTATATATTAATCTATAATTAATATATATAACTATTAATAATAATGTTTTTAGGCTTGTAGGTTCATTGGCTTGTAAGTCGGAGCTAACCTTAAAAATAGACATGTAGAAAGTAAATGAGTTAAACATAAACTTAGTAATTACATTGCAAGTCAGGTTAAGACTCGTCAAAATCTTACCTATCTTATATTTTCACTCCCACGCGAAGTGAGAGAAGTTAATCTTGACAATTCAAATATATATTGATAGTCACTATTAGATTTAAGTGAAATTAGCTAATCTTAACATTATATATAAGACTGAATGGTTAAAAAAAACAAAAAAAAACTGACATGACATGATCAACATGGGCATTCAAGAATAACTAATAAGCATTCTTACCTGGAATACCAAGCCTGGCTTGCATGGACCTGAAAAAATAGTTGAAGTGATTTTGAAGCTATAGTTTTCTGGAGCAAGAAGAATCCCAGACTCTACGGCACAAGCTGCTTTCCATGCTGCTCTGAATGCAGGTGTGTCATCAGCACAACCATCTCCAACTGCCCCAAAGGATCTCACATCAAAAACACATTCAGAAGTGGAAGTTTGGTTATCATTTGGATAAGGGTCCGAAGGAACACTTGGAGAATCTGAAGGTGGTGGAACTGAAGGGTTCTCTGGCTCAGTGGAAGGATCAGCAGGAGCATTAGGAGCTGAGGAAACTTTCTTCTGCTTGCTGTGATGGTGGTATCTTCCCTCCACATGGTTCAAAAGTATCAAGGCAATGCATATAGTATAAAACGCACGAATGAGATCCATGAGGGGCTCTAGTATGTTAATGTTTTCACTCTGTGTGTGTATATGCCAATGTAGGAAGAAAAGAACCACAAAGTGTTGCTAAGTTGTTTCTGTAAATAGACCACAACTTAAAACTTCAGAAATTGTGGTTTTAGAGATAAATGGAAGAAGAAAGAAGGGCCAAGGGCTAATGCAAATCCAGAGGAGTCATAGGAAATTGGTGTAGCAAGAACCAACTCTTATTTATACCGGAAAACATATATGATTGGTCAGGAACCAATGCTCAAAGCATAAGGATGCCACATGTCAAAATTATGTTGGTTACATATGCCAGGGTGTTCAAAATATATGTCTTGTAAAGTTAAGATCAGAATGATGATTTACTTTATTACGTAAATATTTGGTTGTTCTGTTGTGGCATGGTCAGAAGTGTACACGTAGTATGGTTTGAGAGAAGTATAATTAATAGGTTGGCACAGAAAAGAAATGAAAAATAGAAAAAACAAGTAGGAAAATGGTAGTGATGTAAAAGCAAGACCCATCCCGTGACTCTTTGTTGTTGTGTAGTTCCTTGTGGCCAAGGAATTGTAGGCAGCATATTTTAGGTGGGCGACAAGGGATTTAACACATTCACGGGTGGTATGAAAGATCATGTGTGCAGTCTCACGGGTGCGATGAAGAGAAAAGGGAGAATTCCAAAACGAAACATAAACACAAATGGAGAGCTTAACAGAAGAAAAGTGTGTGATCAAATATATTCTAAAGGTGAACATTTTTGTGTCTCTGACAGATACAGTGGCAGTTGCCAGTTTGTGGCTCTCAGAGTAGACACGTCGTATGGCCACACGTTCACGCGCCAACTTACTGCTTCTTTGCTTCATCTCTGGCCCCACTCTCACCATGCATCACAGATAGGCTCAGACTCCTCTCTGTGTCTATGCAACTTCTAAGAACATAATATGTTGTATACGAATAAATATAAATAAATCAAGTTACAAAGATAGATAAAAAATATATATATGTCTGTTATATACCACATGCATTTGTGAGTGTTTTTTCTAAGATGTGCATGTGTCATGTCTAATAAGAATATCATAAATCTCAGTTATACAGTCGTAAATAAATAGTTAAAACTAAGAAAAGTAATGATATGGTTATTTAAAAAAATATGTACTTATCTTTTAATCTATATTATCAAATATGATCTAATCAAGAGTTTTCTCCGGATATGTTTCTTATGTAAGTGAGTAATGTGTTTAGTTTAGTATTGTTTAGAAATGAACACGCATCACTTGAAGGAGATACAAGTAATTTTTGCATCATTTTAACCTATTTGACGTGAAATTATTGATAGATACACACGTGGTATTTAATCAAAAGCAAATAAACATATTAGCAAAAGCTGATTCAGTTGATAAGGAAAGAACCTATATTCACAAGAATGTGAGTTTAATTCTTGTTATCAATATAAAAACCTTGTAAATGTTTTTTGACCTTGATGAAATCTCAATTCAATTCACCTAAACTTTTTAGTAAAATAAATAGATAAATATATATATATATATATATAATATTTAAATAATT